CTGAACGTAACTTAACGCTAGATCCACAAAAATCCAAACTAATCATTGTTTACAAGTTGGAGTTGCGGGCTTCTTTCTTTCCAAAGTCCACATTTACGCACAGGGCATTTGTGGATTAATTTCAGACAATGTTTACGATAGTTAGATGATACGATGACGAGACGTATGGGGGTGTAATCGATATTTCACGCAAACATTACAGCACGATTGCGAAATGGCTGTTAGCTCGTCCCACATATAGTAGCTCACTAATAGTTGCTATTTTAACCTGACGTGTCTTACAAAGTGGTGTAATATAAGTTTATCCCTTCAGATGCTTCACTATATATGTTTTAAGGAGGTGTTTTTGCTATGATCTAGACTTTTTTTTCATGATGATGGGTTAAGACCATAGCCTAGACTTGACATGTTCAACCATTTCCACCTGTTATAAGGTAAATTTATTATTAATTTCTCCATCTTTGGTCTTGTTTACCCCCAAGCTTTTTCTACACCACATGTTATTGCTCCAATGATTAATAGGGACTAGTCCACTATAAAATATAATCATAGTCGTACTTTGGTAATGTTTATCTGAACTACAAAGACTCCATGTGAAAAGACCTTTTTATAACAGAGATATTATTAATTCAGAATGTCCAAAAACAATAACACATTTTTTGTAGCAATAATGCACTTTATTCCTAAGTATTCGCAAAATACAAGCCTTCAGTCACTATTTCAGTTTTTATTTGGTGTAATGCATTTAAAAAGTCTCAGTGTATGTTGTCACAATACAAAAATGTTGATACTAAGGAATAGACTCAATACTCAACACCAATTACGATACCACGATGATAATTAAAAAAACACTCACTATATAAAATGACCAGGGGTGGGCAATTATTTTTTCCATGGGGCCACATGAGAAACAGAAAATATTGTGGAGTTTAGACAAGCTGGTAAGACTGGTAATAGTTTATGTTATGACTAAGCAATGAAAAAGTGAGGTTTCATTTTTTTAAAAACACCCCTAAAATAAAAGCAATTTGCAGCTTTAGTTGATGCATGAGGTAAAATGATAAAATATGTTTTTTTTGTAATTGCAAATTAGCTTAAATGGGCCGGTCAGAGTCAACCAAAGGGCTGTATGTGCCCTGAAGCTGTACAATGCCCAGGCCTGTTTTAGACAATAGAATAATTATACATTAAATACATTCATCCGTAGTACTTACTTTTATATTACTGTGTTGTGTTATATTTACGCAGTTCCTCAGTTTTCTAGGTTGTTTCCATAGAGGTCCATACTAGTGTGATACAGCTCAAGATCATTCTAAAACTATTCAGGAAAGGTTCACTTCTGTCCTCTGAATGTGACTTTTTAAGGATCAATACTTGCTCAAATGATTATCTATTTTCTATACTAGTTTTATTATCAGTTAGTATGTGATTTTCCATACCATTGACAACTAAAATAATTGTTGCAGTTCTACCAAAAATCCCACCCACAGGAAACTATTAAAGGAGATCTCCCAGAATTAATTATCTGTCAATACACAGTATGGCTTTTAACTTATCGATCTCTTGCATTGATTCAATTACAGATTTTATTGATCAAAATCACAATACATGGGGAAAAACCCCAAACTATGAATGAGGACACCTCTCCACAGATCTGACTTAGTTGTGTCATGGAGATCCCTTTATTGCCACACTGTGGAACATTCCAGGCAAAACAATAACATCTCCTTGACACAGGCAGGTAGTGAACCCTCCACCAAAGTTGCAGCATATCTTTTAACTTGCAAATATGACGTTAGCTAGCCAGGCTGGCACCACCTATTGCCTCCACTCAATTTCATTTCTCTCCAGCAACTATGTCAGGAAAATATACTCCAATCGCTGCGAGGTCAGACGGTTTGTACAAAGTGAAACAAAGTAAAACTGACTGATGAATCAGGCTAGACATTAGCTTCATGAATTGTAGAACTTCTGCCAAACAGTTGTAACAGATTAGCCCCACTATCTGTTCAGTGTGAATAACATAAGTTGGCTCAGCATTTTTCACTTTTTTTGTCAAAGAAAACACTTTAAGTTGTAGTTTCTAATACATGGACATAAACTATGAAATAAATCCATCAATACTAGGTACTCATTTGAGCATGTATTGATACTAAAAAATAAAAATCACATTCACAGGACTGAAATGAACCTTTTCTGAATAACTTTAGAATGATCTTGAGCTGTATCACAAGAGCACAAGAGCACATAGACTAGTATACACCCATGGACCTATGGAACCTATGGAACCTACCTGGACCACTGAGGGATTACACAGATATAAGACCACATGGGAATATAAATGAAAGTACTACAATTTAA